AAATGCAGTGACACATAGTCACAAACCTAGTGTATTGAGTTTGGGATTTGAACTCAGGCTTTCCTGACTCCAAGGCTCTATCCACTCTTAAAGGCATTCAGTAGAGAAATATATTGTTATCACAGACAGAACCAGGATTTGAATTGGTCCTTCCAGTCAAATATGTCTTTTGAAATCACTTTGTTTCTTCCCTGAGGCAATTTTCTCCAGTACAAATAAAGGCTGATCCCAGGGTGTTGTCTCTGGATGGAAGCAAAGTGAGTTCAAAAGTCAGATTTAATCTAAGAGACTCTCACTGGCTGGCTGACTGTGACCATGGACTTGAATCTCAAAAGGGCTAAAATATCCCTGTGTCTTCTCTGGAAATAATTGTCCCCACTCCCTTTCAGGAAAGAGGCTACATAGTAGCCACAACTCATCAGAGACTATTAGATGGCAATATTATCTCAATGCAGAACCATCAAATGGCAACCTCAGGAATTGCAAAAAAGATTTTTGTGACTATATCCTCTGGGTTACAACGTCAGCAATTTCAGCAACACTCATTGAGGCATGAAGATATGTTGTCAATTAGTCAATAAACATTAAGTGCATACTATATGTCAGGCACTGTGCTAAATGCTGGAGATACAAATATGAAAAAGACAGTCCTTGCCTTTAAGGAGTTAATAATCTAATGAGGGAAGAAGACACAAAACAAAGCTGATAAATTGGGGGCAGAGGGGGAGTAGATACTGGGTTGAGGCATGATAAAATTCAATCCAAAGTAATGCAGCTGGGTGGGAAATGAAGAGTGGCTGGCCCAGGAGGTCTCTTTAAATAAAGGATTGAGGAGGAGTTAGTGTTGTTTTATGAACCAATTGGTTAGGTTTTCTTAGGCATATATAACTAGAAAAAGTCATGAATAGGATACAATTAAACCAATTTTTTAAAAAATAAGAATGTAACTCAGCTTCCAGGATCTTCAGGAAGAGATTAGAGTAAAGAATCAGAGAGGCCCACATAAGCTAGGAAATGCAGAGAGCAGATGAGCCCAGACATTGCATTGGAAACTTGATTGGAGCAAGACTGGCAGCTGTTGGAAAGGACCCCAAAGGCAGTGAAAATGAGCACAACTCAGTTCCAGTGCTTTCTTCTCTCTCTTCCCTCAGAGTGCTTGCTGAAGATGTGTCCATTGTCAGTTTGTCCAGTCTTTTCCTTTATGTCCTCTACTTAGACTAGCTGGGAAGAGGAGTGGTGGGATGGGACATTTATTATCCATGCTGCAACAATCCTGAAACCTTTTGAAAGTCTTTTGTTTTACTGTTTGGGGTTCTATGCTATGTTATTGTCTTAATAAGTCACATGGCCATTAAAAATAAATTACTGAATCCTATGAATTGGGGATTGTGAATGAGGAGAAAAGAAAATTACGACTCATACGATAGGGGCTTGAAGAAGATAGTTGAGGAGGATTTGTTATTTTTGGTAATTTGGGGCATATTCAATATTAGAGAGGGCTCACCTTGAAGGCAGAAAGAACTAGATTCAAGTCTTGTCTCTGACACATATTAGCAGCATGACCTTAAGCAAGTCATTTAACCTATTAGTGCTTTAGAGAGTTCTGTAAGTCCTTAAGCTGCAGAGAAGTGGTAGACATACAAGCATTGATAGATGGAGTCTTCTCTCCTGGGATCTTTTTTTTTTTTCTGGTGAGGCAATTGGGGTTAGGTGACTTGCTCAGGGTCACAGCTTGCTCACAGCTAGCAAGTGTCAAGTGTTTGGTCTGAGGCTGGATTTGAACTCAGGTCCTCCTGACTTCAGGGCTGGTGCTCTATCCACTGTACCACCTAGCTGCCCCTCTTCAGGGATTTTTGTGTGCCAGTGAAATCACAGGTCTAGTACCTATCTTTATCCCTCTTCCAAATCGTGTCTTAGACAATAGTCAGAATGCCATCTGGTGGACAATTAGTATCTTATTACCATTTAGCTGGTTAATTAATTAATCACATGACATTTTACTGCCCTCGATAGTTACAGAGAGCACAGGAATGAGGCAGGTGTAGGTGACTGTAGCCTGGCAGAACCTCTGTCATATGTACCACTATGTAGCATCTACCTCCTGAACCTGCTGACACCAAAAATTATGTTTTGATTGATTACTCATTTGTGCTTGGATGAATGAATAAAGCACTTATTATGTGCAAAGCACTGGGAATACAAATAGAGAAGTCAGAAGGTCTGGTCTCTGCTCTCAAGGAGTTCACATTCTAGTTGGGGAGACAACCCATATGGAAGATTTCAGATGCAAGTCAGAGGGAAAGGTACCATGGTCCTTAGGGTATAGAGGCAAAGCAGACAGCAGTGCTTCTTCTTTAATGTCATTTCCACGATAAAATCATATCAGTTTCTGATGATAGAGCATTCGACGGTGTCAAAGACTTTAGTGGCAAGAACTTTCTTTTCTTGAACATCAGTAGAAGTCCCAGAAGGCTGGAGGACCTTTAGGAGTGGTTGCCAGGCTATATCTCCACAGGATTTGCTTCCCAGGCTGATGTCTGAGGATACTGAGCTAAAAATATTGCTGTTCCCAAGGCTCTTGGGTTCAGGGTTCTGGGTTCTCCCTTAGGGTCTGAAGATAGATAGTGATCAAGGTGGTGGTGGTATTTTGATTTGTCTGGCATATGTTGCCCTCCTGTCTCTCCTTCAGGGTTGCCTTGTTGCTTCAGCTAATCTGGTTTTCCTACCTTTTGTGGAGCAGTCAATAAGTGTTGTTGGTCTCTAATTCATGGGACTTGCTTCCCCTGATGATGACTATGAGGGCTGAGCTGGAAGCAGAAATGATGGTCTGGTGGGGTCTATGAAGGTTCTGTCCCTAGGCCTTTGACTTTACTAACTTGTGTAAGCTTGCTGTTAGGGCAACTCCTCTCCTTGGAACTTGGCCAGGAGACTCTGTCTTTGGCAAGAGATTACAATACTTTTTCAACCTGCATGATTGCTGAACCTGAATTCAAAATATGCTTCTAGAACCTTCATGATCCTTGAACTGGCCTGGCTTCCTGAATGTAGGCTACCACCTGTCCCTCCTTTTTTTTTCTGGTACTATTCTTTGAAACCTGTTTCTAGCACTCACTTCTCTCTTTCTTTTCTGTCCCTTGTTGCTACACCCTCCAGACCAGTGAGCATGTTGTCTAGATTTTATTTATAAGAGAAGGGAGAAGATACAATATACCAGGGTAAGATAATAAGATGTGCATATGGAATAAAACTCCCAGATTGAGTGACACCTAAACCTTCTAATCTAATTGTAACAAAAGTTTCCTAGACCTAGCCTGATTCTCTCTCCGGACTGGGCAGAAGTGTCTAGTATCTTTCCTGTTCTAGGCCAGAATAGAATCTCTTCTACAATAACACCCTGAAGATGATTTTGAGAAATATCTACTTGGGTTCACTGAATTGAGCTTGTTCCTGGTCTCCAATCCCTATGTCTCAGCCAATTATTAAAACTTCTTAACTGGTGTGGTAGATTTATGGTATTCCATATTTCTACTTGCTATTTCACTTCTTCCTTCCTTGGACTCAGATAAATACAATGGGGTGCTGATAGCTCAAATGTTGAAATACTTCGACTGTTTCCATGTTACTCACAAAATTCACAAAAGACAACCTCTTCTCTTATTGGACTTGGTCTATAAATAGGATCATTTCAGACGAAGATGATCTAGTGCTTCCATAAGAGTCACAGACTATGCCCCAGTGGCAGTTCAGTGCCACACATAATTACTGCTGGAATGTGTAAAGTAAAACAGTAATCCTTTATTGTTCAGCTGCCCTGTTTTTGTTCTTTTATGGGAAGAAGGATTCGTGAGAGATAGGCATTCTCACTTTATACCTTCAGCTTTTAAACTCATATATAGTGATTGGATGCAGATGTAGAACATGCAATCATGCTTTATAACTGGATTTCAATTGGTTATAATTATACCTTCAGCTTTTAAACTCATATATAGTGATTGGATGCAGATGTAGAACATGCAATCATGCTTTATAACTGGCTTTCAATTGGTTATAAACTAATATTCTTGAGCCTTTGCTAATTACTAATAAGAAATCATGCCAGTTTGTGGCAATATTAGTATAAATTCTGCTAATTGCAACTGCTTTGGCATTTCTTCCTGGACATCTGATGAGCAGATGATTCCCAGTCTTCAATTAAGCAAATATTTATTGAACACCTAGAATGGCTTTGGACTAACGTCCTAATCTGGTGCCTCTTGGTGTGGAGGTGAACTTGGATTCTCAAAAGCTGTTTCAGGAAAGCACAAGCAGCTCCTACCAAGGTGATAACTTGGAGTTTGAAGCTAATGATAGACTATGTATGTCTTTGTTGTCTGAGGACCTTGTTAAAGTCAACCTTGTTAAGTTCAGAGAAACTTGCTGCAGGTTTGGCTGCAGGGTGATGACTTTTTTTTGGCTTCAACAATTCTTCAACACTGTTATGTTATAGAAGGAGTTTTTTTCCCTTCGCTTTCCCTGACCATGTAGAAAGGTTTTGGTTTGTGTCATTGGAGAGAATATGCATACCCATAAAATGACATTTCCTTGAAATACAAAGTATGAACAATGCATTGTGCTAGGCACTGGGCACCAATCTGTTCTTTGGCAACAATCTCCAATTCTGCATTTGGACCAATGCTTTCCAGCCTAAATGACTTAAATGATCATGATTTCTGATCACTGTGTTTGCTAACAATAATATGGGAAACATCTGCTTACTTCATTCCACCCCATGAAAAATGCTGGTTTAGAAATGTGTGCTTAAAAGTGGCTCCAGAACAACTAGGGAGTAAATCGAGGTTTTCAACCACTTAGAAGTGTTTCCCAGCCCCTATTCCCGTCCCTCCCCACACTGTGCCAGGAACTCGTCACGCATGCTCCGTTCCTCCGTTCCTCCCTAGTCTCAAAGGTTAGGGAGGCGGGGGACGGAAGGGGGTGGGAAGGGGAGGCGCATACGCATGCGCACCGCCTGCCTGTCGTCGGGCGCTGACTCACAGTCGACGCTAGCTCGCTTACTAGCTGGACGCTGCTCGGTCTGCGAGTCGTTTGCCTCACGCGCGACTGTGGTCGTGGGCGCCATGAATTGCGAGAACTTCGCGGCGGGCGAGCGGTTGGTGTCTCCGGCCTACGTGCGGCTGGGCTGTGAGGCCCGCCGCTCCCACGAGCACCTCATACAGCATCTGCTGGAGAAGGTACCGACGTGCCCGGGCCAGCGGCCCATCAGGAAAGTCCGGTCCTGACCCGGGGGGCCGAGCGCCCCCAGCCTGGGCTCCAGTGCCGGGGCCTCCTGGGCCTGGGGGTCTGGGCGGGGCGTAGAGGGGTCTGGGTGGGGCGTAGAGGGGTCTGGGTTGTGCGCCTCTAGGCGAGGGAAGTTAGATTGGCACGAGCTGCGTGTAGAGGGCGAAGTCCACTCCTTCTCTAGGAGCTGCCCGTAGAGTGGGCGCGCCCAGCCCTGACGTCAGTCAACAAACATTTATCGGGCTTGTCCTCTATTCGGGCGCTGTGCTAAGCAAGTTCCCCCCCCCTCAGTGAGCAGTGGCCAAAGATTGAGCCCCGTGCCTTCTGGGTGGTCATGGGCGTGTCACTTCTCCCCTCTTGAGCCTCAGTTCTCCATTGGTTAAATGCGGTGTGAAACTTGAACTGAAGGGCGCCATAACTCTGTGGTTAGAGGGATGGGCCTTGGATTCTGGCCCATCTGGGTTCCAGCGTGATTAAAGGCTAGTCCTTTAACTTCCCAGCATCCCCAGGCAATTAAGACTGTAATTTACAGAGGAGCTGGCCATATGCCTAGGTGAAAGTAGAGTACACACCTAAGGAAATTTTTTTTAAAAAGTCAATATTACGTGCCAGCGCTGGGGGAGAGGGGGAGAGGGAGGAAGGGTTAGTTCCTGCTCTCAAGGAGCTTACAGTCTGAACACTGCACAAGAGGAAGCTGAAAAGGGAGGAGGTGTAGGGTAAGGTACTTGGTGCAGAACATGATGGAGAAATCCAAAGGAGTGCGGCTAATAGGAAATAAAGAGATTGGCTGGCCTGAGTGCTCTCCTTAGATGGAGGCTTTGGGAGGAGCCTCCCTCTGCCTGCCAGTCTGACAAGGTGTGAGTGAGTACCAAGGCCGATGTGATCTTGCAGGATGGTCACCTAACCTCTGTTTGTCTTAGTACACTAGAGAAGAAAACGGTAAACCACTCCAGTATCTTTGCCAAGAAAACCCCATGGGTAGTATTGGTATGCTATGGTCCATGGGGTCAGGAAGAGTTGGATACAACTGAACAACAGTAGCTAACTATATACATTTTCTAATCTGAGCCTTCGTATCCCTGTAAAAATAGACGGTAGAGGTATTTTTCAGATAGGGAAACTAAGGCTCACAGAAGTTAAGTTACCCATAAATGCCAATGATCACAGCTGCTAAGTATTAGCTGTAGAATTGGATGGGCAGCAAGGTGGCTCAGTGGATAGAGTGCTGGTCCTGGAGTCAGGAAGAATGATTTCCTGAGTTCAGATTTGTCCTCAGATACATATAAGCTGTGTGTGACCTTGGGCAAGTCACTTACCCTATTGCCTCAGTTGTCTCTGTAAAATGAACCGGAGAAGAAAATGGTGAACCGTTCCAGTATCTTTGCCAAGACAACCCCAAGTGGGATCAGGAAGAATTGGATATGATTGAAAATAATAATGTGGAATTGGAACCTTTGGCTTCTTAATTCCAAGTCTGGCACTTGATCCAGTATATGAAACATAAAAACACCAGTAAAACTCTTATAAGGAAGCACAATAGTATCAAATAGCTACTGAAGACTGACTAACTTTCAAAACATATTTTCCTCTTCCAAAGGGTAAATGTCCTGAAGATGGTTGGGATGAAAGTACCATTGAGCTGTTTCTCCATGAACTTGCCATTATGGATAGTAACAATTTCCTGGGCAGCTGTGGTGTGGGAGAAAGGGAAGGTAGAGTAGCATCTGGGTTAGTTGCCCGTCGACATTACAGGTAATTTTTAAAAGTGGTGTGTGGTTTCTATTATGTCCTGTAAGGATGCTTAATTTTTTAATGTCTTCATAAAATGTTTTAAATGTTTTAAAGATCAGATTATATGTTTGTCTATATTTTCTAATTTAGAAGTTCTTTAAAAAAGACTTAGAAATAAACTTATCTGAAAATCATTCTCATTCAGCTGCATCTTATTTTCTGCAATACATGTGGAAAAGTCTAAATTTTATTTTAAAAGATTGAACTTTATTTTTTCTACCGACTCACCTTAAATTTTAGAGGTTTTCCCCATTATTTACCACCTATTTGTTGGTTACTACATGTTAGTAATAACAGTAAGAATTCATGGACCATTTAAATCACTTGGTTTTAATATGATCTTATTGAAGTGAAAACCATGTTGTTTTAATTTTCATTTATTTTTGTTTTTTCTTAATATTTCTAAAATTTTATCATTTATTTATTTTCAGCATTCTTGTTAAATTTTTGAGTTCCACATTCTCTTCCTTCCTTCCATCCCTTCCCCCTCTTCACCAAGAAGGCAAGCAGTGTGTCAGACATGTGAAATCATGTAAAACATTTCCATATTAGCTGTATTTCCCAAAAAAGCAAGAAAAATAAAGAAAGTGAGAAAATTATACTTCAGTCTGCACTCAAGTTCATTAGTTGTCTCTGTAGGTGTAGCATTTTTCATCTCATGAGTCCTTTAGAATTTTCTTGGGTTGTTGTATTGTTCAGAGTAACCAAGTCTTTCACAGTTGATTATCATTAATTACAACATTGCTGTTATTGTGCACGATGATCTCCAGGTTCTTCTCAAGTCACTTTGCATCAGTTCATATAAGTCTTGCCATGTTTTTCTGAGACCTTCCCCATTTCTCACTGCACAATAGTACTCCATCACAATCATATGCCACAACTTGTTCAGCCATTCCCCAATTGATGAGTCTCCCCTAGATTTCCAATTCTTTGCTACCACAAAAAGAGCTGCTTATTATAAATATTGTTGTACATTTAGGTCCTTTTTATTTGATCTCTTTGAGATACAGACTGAGTAATAGTATCACTGGATCAAAGTTTTGCAATGCTTTGGACCTAAAAACCATATGTTTTAAAATATCTCTTTGAAAGGAAAAAAATAGATATGCATTAAACATATATAATAGTGAAGTTTTATATAAGCCAAATTTGGTGGTAAATGTAGGTGCCATATTCTGATATTAGTGTATTAAAAATTTTGCAGTAAGCCACAATAACGAACATATACTCAGGCTAATAGCAACAGTGAATTTAATAATATATGTGAAAACACTTTGAAAATAGTTTAGCACTAGAGAAGCTCTTTTTTTTTTTTAAGGCAACTGAGGTTAAGTGACTTGCCCAGGGTCACACAGCTAGTAAGTGTGTCAAGTGTTTGGTCTGAGGCCAGATTTGAACTCAGCTCCTCCTGACTTCAGGGCCGGTGCTCTATCCACTGAACCACCTAGCTGCCCCCCAGTTAGCACTATGAAAATATAATTGTTGAAGCATTGCATTTTAGAGTTCATCTTAATGGTCCCATTATTTACAAACTGAATGTTGCATTTATCAAGTGCCTGCTCAGTGTCAGGCATCATGCTAAGTTTTGGGCATGCAAAAAATGGCAAAAGACTGCCCCTGCTCTCAAGGAGCTCACAGTTCAATGGATTATTATTATTATTAATAATTGACTATTATTATTCTTATCATAATGAAGCTTAGTACTGGTATGCTCTGCTTTATCACAGCCTGCTATAAAATAAAATTTCTGACTAGCAAATTAGGAAGTGATTACTCACATTAGAGGGGTTTTTTAAAAATAATTTGGTGGTTTTTAATTATTAGAACCTTTATTTCACTTATAATATAGTTTAATTTAGGAGCAACTTTTCAAGGAGCTAATTTTTTGTGTATTGTCAGGTATACCACTATGGCAATTCAATTCAACAAACATTCTTTAAGTGTTTGCTGTAAATAAGGCACTGTTAGAGGCTAGAGGTCTGAAGAGATGAAGAAGTGAAACAGACCATGCACTTAAAGAACATGTAGTCTAATGAAGTGATAGAAATGACAAAAGTAAGATTATGATAAATGCAAAAGGTAAGTATGAAATTTGCAAATACAGAGAGTACTTGAAGATGGGAGAAATCAAGAAGGAGGTGGCACCTGAAAATCAAATGGGGAGTACGTTTTAGGTGTGAGGGTAGGCCTGCATGAATGCTTAGAGTGGAAGAAAACAATATTGAAGTACCATGATAGTAGTCCATTTTGATTAGTATGAGGAGTTGATGAATATCAGAAATGAGAAATAAGGCCAGACTTTATTTGGAAAGCTGTGATTTCTACTACCTACTTCTTTTTTTTTTTAATTTGATTTTTGTTCAGTGAATAAAAATCCATTTTTTCTCCCTCTTGTTTTCTTGCTTTGGGGAAAAAAAGGAAGAAAAACATAATTCTTTTAATATACATAGTCACATAAAACAAATTCCCACATTGGCCTTGTCCAAAAACTTTTGTACCTCTGGCTTCACTTTGAATGTATCATCTCCCTTCTCTTGAGGGGGAGAGCATGCATCAGTCATTTGGAGTCATGGTTGCTCACTGTGTTGATCAGAGTTCTTAAGCCTTTCAAACTTTTTTCAAACTTGTCACAATGTTATTATATACTTGTTCTTCTGGTTCTGTTTACTTCTTGTTGATCAGTTCATATAAGTCTTCCTGGTTTTCTCTAAAATTATTTTGCCATATCAACTAAATGAGTTTTTCTCTCAGGTCAGTGGTCCAGATAAATCCTACCACATAGAGCTTAAACAAGGCACTCTAGGAAGGTGTGAAAATTGCACCCCTGTGTTTGTACTACTCACTTGAACTTTGAGCCTATTGTAACACATGTAACTTAATGTAACACAACATGGAGCTCAGCATTTTCTGGCATTAAATAATATGCCTTTAAAAAAGCAATACTTTAAAAGTGTCCTTTGTTTTGTTCTCACTTCATTTTTTATACCTTAGACTATTGCCTTCTTTTTCTGCCCTAATCCTGGTTCTGTTTGTAAGCTCTAGCATCAAGGTAGCACAGTTTCCTTTTATCTGGGGAGAAAATGGCGCCTTAAAAAAAAAATAGGGTGAAACATGTCACTCGCTCCTCCTTAGTACCCAGAGTGTTGACCAAATTTTAGCTTACTATCCTGATTAAAGGAAGGAGGGATTAAAAGGGAAAATTTATTTTTCATGGATGATTAATTGGTCATTTAATTATTATAGTTTCTATATTATAGATATACCTATTGGGAATATAATAGAGGAAATTCTTATATCTGGTAAAAATCTTAACTGGATGTTCTCTTGATCCCTTTTAAGCCTCAGATTCTACCCCTAAAAGCTAACTATTGCTTCTGATTTTCTAGGCTATCTTGTTTGCATACATGTACATGAATTATTTTGCATAAGACTTTTCTTCCCATTCATTGACCCTTCTTTTGTTTAGGTTCATTCATGGAATTGGAAGATCAGGTGATGTTGCTGCTGAGCAACCCAAAGCTGCAGGTTCTAGCCTTTTGAACAAAATAGCCAATTTATTAGTTCTGGACATCGTAAGGCTGGCTGGTGTGTATTATATTAATTCTGCTACTTTTTGCTGACCTGCTAGTGTGTATTATATTAATTCTGCTACTTTTTGCTGACCTGCTACAAATGAGGGAGTTGGGATAGATGGCCTCTGAGTTCTCTCTAGCACTGAATTTGTGATTTCATGAAATGCTCTTAGTTGACTTAATTTCTAATTGCTTCTTTATTTACAGGTGTCCGTTCAGTGGCTGACTGCTTTGTTGTTCCAGTGGCGACTGGTATGAGTCTAACCCTGTGTTTCTTGACACTACGACATAAGAGACCAAAGGCAAAATATATTATTTGGCCACGGATAGATCAAAAATCCAGCTTTAAATCCATGATCACTGCAGGTAATGGAATGCATTGTTAATTATTAATTTTGCATTAATATAACATTGAGAGACAATATGGCTCATTAGATAGAGTGTTGGACTTGGAGTCAGGAAAAAATGGATTCAAATCTTGACTCCAACACTAGCCATATGACCATGGGTAAGTCACTTAACCTCTCTGAGCCTGAGGCTCTAAAAATTATTTACTATGTTGTCTTCAAAATTTGCATTTCTAGAATGATTTCCTGCATTGATAAAAATCACAGATCATTGATGTAGTGAAGTTAATGTTATATAGAGTTTTAGACTTGTTTAGAATCATAGATGATAAACTAAAAATTTATTAAACAGAATACAGTAAAAAGTTACCACAAGTGTGTGTGTGTAGACACACATAGACACACACACCCACACACCCAAATCTAAAAAACCATTACCATGAATTAAATAGGTACCCTTCCAACTGACTGGATCAAATATGAATAATAATTGAAAAATTGGAGAATAATTTTAATAATGATAATGGCTAACATTTCTAACTTTAGGTTTTAAAAGTACTTTACATATATTATCTCATTTGAGCCTTACAACAGCTTTGTGAAGTAGGTTCTATCATTATCTCCATTTTATAGATAAGGAAATTGAGAAAGAGAAGGATTAAATAACTTGTTCAGGTTCTCATAGTATATTAGATAGGATTTGAACTTAGGTTTTCCTGCTCTTAAGTCCAGCTCTCTTCTATGCCACACTGTTTTGAAGAGAAATAAAGGCTGATGACTAGGTCATGATATTCAAGGAGATTAAGAAGTAGACAGTTTAAGGTTATGTAATGAGACGAAATCACTTCTGTAATTTTTGAGAAGGATAAAAGATCAAAACAGAGCAAATAGTGTTAGAAATCTAGATTAGGATTTCTGTGTTTCCTTAAATAAGGCTTAGATCATAAATTAGAAGACTTAGCATATTTTTTTGTATAGTTTCAAATTAATTGAACTACTGTATTTGTACTGTCTTTCTATAATGAACTACTTATCAAGCCATGAAGGTACTCCACTTCCATCAGAGTTGATCAGATAATGCAAAGAACTCCCATTGTCTTGAAAGTATCTGTATATTTCAAGGTCAGAAACCAAAGACTGATTCTGTAGGAAAAATTTTCATTAATAATTCAGAATAACTCTTCTTGTGGCATTGTATTTGCAAGAGAGTGAGCCCCCAGGTTCTGTAAGAAATAATTTATAGCTACTGTTCTTACTATGTAATTTTGATAAATGCCATTTCTTTGAAAGAAGTCAAGATAGACTTACTTTTTTGCAGATGTAATGTGGAGAGGGGTCTGTGGTCTAAAGTTTATTCTTATTGTTGTATTCCAAGGATGTTGAAGGATGTGAAACTAAGTGCAGAATTTCTCTGTTATAATTTTGGTAATTCTATCTCATGTTAGAATTTCACACTTCTTATGAGCAAAAGGTAGAGTTGAGAAAAAAGATGGATGCAGATGCACAGGGAAAATTATCAGCCAACACAGATTTTAAAGACAGATGCAGAAGATGGAAGCAAAGGTCAGTAGTAGAAAATGAATACATAAGTGTGACATGCTCCTGTAAGAATAGTACCAGAAGAACCAAAGCTCAGAATGAGCTGATGCTGCCAGTTAAAGAAAAGGATAGCAAAAAAGATTTTGTTAGCTGTATTGGAGGGGAAAAGAAAATTGGAGAAGAGAGAGACCCTCTACTTGGAGTGTAAGGGATGATGATGATAACTGAATGATAGACATAAGACAGAGCTTCTCAACTCTTGTTTGTTTTTCTCTGCTGAAGAGAATAATCTTTGGACTGGAAAGAACAGAACAAAATTACTAATAGGGAGCTGATACCTGTACTAAGCTGAGAGATGGAAAGTACTTTAGCTGTCCTTGGTGAGTTCAGTTTACTAGTCTCAGATGAACTATATTCTAGGATACCAAAGAACATAACATGTAGGAATCAGTCATTGGAGTGATCTTTGAAAGGTTGTGGAATCCTGGAGAGGTGCCACAGAACTGGAGAAGGGCAAATGTCCTGATTTTCAAAAAAAGGAGAAGAGTGGCATCTGAAAACTATAGGTCGTCTATGTGTGACTTACATTCCTTTCAAAATTCTAGCATGTATTGTTAGAGATGTTAGTGAGTATCCAAAAAAGTAAATGTCTATCTTGAAAGTGAAGGATTCATCAAAAACAAGTCATGACAAACTAACCTCACTTCTTTTTTTTTTTAATAAGGTTACTAGACTTGTAGATCATGGGATTGTAGCAAAACAGTTGACAGTCTCCCATGCTGTTCTTATTGAAAGAGCTTAGAGGAATGACAGTGTGGTTAGATGGATTTGAAGTAACTTAAATGTTTGGATTGAAAGGGTAATCATTAATCACCTAGGTGGTGTAGTGGATAGAGCAGTGGCCCTGGAGTCAGGAGGACCTGAGTTCAAATCCTGCTGCAGACAAATAACACTCACTAGCTTGTGTGACTCTGGGCAAGTCACTTAACCCCAATTGCCCTAACCAAAAAAAGAAAAAAAAGAGTAATCATTAATGGTCCATTGTCACCTTTGAAGGAAGCTTCTAGTGTAGTAGGCCCCAAAGATTTGTGCTTTACCTGGTACTTTTGATGTTTAACATTTTTTTTTATCAGTGACTTAGATAAGGGGATAAATAGCATGTTTGTCAAATTTTCAAACCAGGGGCAGATATTTTAACACACTGCGTGACAGGTTTGGCCACAGTTCTTGATGGGTTTGAACATTGAGCTGAATCTGGTAGGATGAAATTTAGTAAATGTAAAGTCTTATACTTGTTTCAAAAGACCGATTTCACAGCTACAAGATGTGGCACTTATGACTACACAACAGTCTGCAAAAGATTTGAGAGTATATAGTGGATTGTAAGCTCAATATGGCAGTAAGAAAACTGAATGTAGTCTTTGACAGTATGAAGAAAAGTGTTAGGACTAGGGAAGTGATAGACCTGTTGTACTTAGACCACATCTGGAGTATTGTGTTCACTTTTGGGTACCTCATTTTAGGGAGGCTGTTGATAAGCTGAAGATCATCTAGAGGAGGGCAGCCAAGATGCTGGAGATCTCAAGATATTGTTGCATGTAGATCAGTTAAAGGAAATGGGGATATTTATCTTGGAGAAGAGAAGATCTAGGGGAGAACATCATAGGTATTGTGAAGTATTTGAAAGACTATCATGTGGAGGAGGGGGGCCATTTGTTTTGATCTGTATATTGCCACTGAGGAGAAAGTGAGGCTAGTGACTTTGCACAGCCCTACCTTAAATCCAGCGCACTTGTAAGTCATGGCATCACTTTCCTGATGTCATGATCCTTTTTGAGAACGAAGGACAAAAACAACATGTGGAGGAAGATTATATTGTTTTCTGTTCGGTCTCAGAGGGCATAACTAGCTGCAACAGAAGATAGTTGCAAAGGGACAAATTTAGGCTTGAAAAACTAACAATTAGAATTATGCAAAAGTGGAATGAATGGACTATCTTGGAAGTTGTGGGTTCCCCATCACTGGAGAGCTTTAATAAAAGGTTAGTTGATCAATTGTTGGGTATACTTCTTGTATATATGGGTTTGACTAGTTGGACTCTGGGGTCCAACTCTGAGTATCTGTGTGGGTAGTTATACTTTATATCATATGAGAGTTGAGAGGCTGTTTGTTATCTGAGGACCGTATAATTGAATTTGGGGAAATCCATTACCAGAACATTGATCAGCCAGGTGATACATATTTTTTATCTTAGCAACCCAAGAAGATCAGCTTCTAAGGTGTTTAAGAAGTTTCAGTCCCTATATAATGGATCACTAAAGCATATTGTAATTTATATTTAAGAGTAAGTGCTTAGTGACAAATTTGCTAGGAATCATTCTTTCCTCTCATCACCAAACCTTTATTATTATCTTCCCTTTCTTTTCCTTCCTCCTTTTCTAAGACAGTGATAGTTAGATCTGGGAGTTTCTTTCCTTTAAGGAAAAAAAAAACTATGTAACTCTTGGAACTGAATTCCACTTATATTTATGAGACCAAAATCAGATTTCAGACTCAGTAGAACTCATTATTGATGCCTCCTATCTTCCATTTTGAACTTCACAATTTCTGTTGCGGGTACAACCAGCCTTCTGGTCTTCCAGTTTTTCAACCTCAGTGTCCATACTTGACTCCCTGCTTTCTCTCCCTCATGGAATTTCAATCTCCACAATACCTCTTCTGTCCCCTCCTCTTTACTCATAAAACCATCATCCTCATTCGAGCTTTAATCACCCCTTGCCTGACCTAGTGCAATGATCTTATAATTTTCTTCTTTACCTCAAATCCCTGTCTCCTCTAGTCTGTTTTTCACATTGCTGCCAAAGTGATATTCCTAAAGCATCGGTTTTGAACATGCCACTCCCCTGCTCAATAGACTCCAGGGCTCACCATGACCTCTGGGATCAAATATAAACTCATCTGTTTGGCTTTTAAAGCTTTTCACAACCTGGCCTCATTTTTTACCTTTTCAACTTTATTAAACATTATTTCCCTTCTTGCACTCTGTAGTAGAGCCATGCTGGCTTTCTTGGCTGTTCTCACATGTTGCCTCCCATCTCTGTCCTGCTGCCTTCTGTAGTGGCTGTCCTTCATGCCTAGGATACGTTCGCTTCTCGTCTTTACCTTTTGGAATCCCTGGTTTCCTTTGAGACATAGTTCAAGTGCCACTCTTTGCATAAGAATTTTCTTGATATCTTGCCAGCTGGAGTCTCACCCAGAGTTCCTTATACCTGCTTCGTATTTGTTTTACATATGCGTATATATGTATGTACTCATATAAGCCCATAGTTTCTGGCACATAGGAAGCACTTAATAACTGCCTCTTGGTTGATAAGTTGATTGAAGATGGAGAACAAATTCTGAAGCCATTATAACACTCTCGAAAACTCATTCAAAAAATATTACTGTATCCTGGTTTTACCAGTCTGCGGAGATAATAAA